CACATACTTGACAGAAAACAACAAGACTCATAACTGACTCAAAAAGCTAAAGAAGAAGAGAAAAGACTTAATGTGGTTAATCATGCATTGTGCTCGTAGTATTCCTCATGCTTACTCAATTATTCAAGAATCGCCTATAGGAACAGATTTTGCAAAAGGTTAGGTTTCAATTTCCTTTGGCTCAAGTTGAAGATTTCACCGATAAGTTCAAGCATTGAAAATTTGCCCACCTATTAATTCAAACTAGTTCTTTCTCGTAGACGTGAATATGCTATGTGTGACAGTCATTGTAGCTCCTGGATAGATGCAAAACTAAATATGTGAATTGGAGAAGAAGGTTGAAGATGAGGTATGTATGTAAACAAAATTTTGTCACACTTTTAAATGAAGAAGGAGAGGTATATTTATAGATTTTTTAGGCAAAGAAAATATTTGTGGAGGAAACTTAGAGTGAAATATCTAAGATATTTGTATAAAATTTGGAGAAAATGCCGAATTTTCTGAAACTGCTCTATTTCCCGAAGAAATCATCCGGCCAGACAAAAAAGTGTTCGACTAGACAAAAAATTGTTTAGCCAAACAATTTTTTTAAAAGGGGAAAACATGGCTTTTTTCCAAAAAATTCTCATTCCTTCCACTCATTTTTACTCTGTCTTTGCTCAATTTATTAAGAAAATATAACACTTTAATTTTGAAAATGCAAATCTCGAATTTTGTAGAAATGTTTGAATCCACACCAAAAAAAAAAAAAACATTTTGAAAAATATTTAAAAAAAGGTCTAAAATAGTTTGACCAAAACGGGTGTAAGGTTGAGATTAAAGGTTGAACCTGACTCTCCTGCTGAGGAATTCGTAAGATAGCACATTCCAACTTTTATCATCGGATGTTCAGAAAAGAGCGCCCAAGTGTTAAGGCCAGTTAAAATGGGGTGTCTACAGTAGCAATCATGGCTCTTCTTTTGTCTTTCTTGTATTGTTTCTTGATTTTCGGACAATCAACCTTGATGTGACCAGGCTTGTTACATTCATAACAAGTGATTTCAGTTTTCTCCATTTACAAAATCTTTTCTACTATATTCTCCTTTGTTAAAATCTCTTTTAAAAAATCTTCTTCCTTTTTGTTTTTTTTTCATAAATTTCTGGAACATCCTTGTAAAGAAAGCCACTTCTTCATCATCAAATTTTGAATTATCTTCATCCTCCTCTTCACGAGTAGTGGTGGTTTTGAAAGCTAATACCTTCTTTTTCTTGTCATATTCTTCTTCATCCCTTTCTTTCATGATGAGCTCATATGTGAGAAGAGATCCTATCAGCTCGTCTAGACTTAGTTTTGATAAGTTCTTGGCTTCAGTGATGGCAATGATTTTTTTCTCCCAACTCTTAGGTAATGACCCTAGCACTTGTCTTACAATTTCAGCATTAGTATATATTTTACTAAGAGATGTTAAATCATTTATAATATCAGTAAAACAAGTAAACATTTGAGTAATAGTTTCATCATATTTCATCTTAAAAAGCTCATAGTTGTGAACTAGCAAGCTAACTTTAGACTCTTTAACTTGGTCTGTTCCCTCATGAGTCACTATGAGTTTATCCCAAATTTCTTTTATTGTCTTACATGTAGAAATTCTATTGAACTCGTTGGCATCTAAAGCACAATACAACATATTTGTGGCTTTAACATTGGTTTAAGAAATTCTCATATCAGCTTTCATCCACTCATTTTTAGGTTTTGGTATCTTTTGGACATCTACAGTTCTGGTAAGGGATTTTGGAGGACAAATGATTTCCAGCCCTCATAATCGTTAGATTGTATGTGTATGGTCATCCTGATTTTCCAATAACTAAAGTTTGTGTTGCTAAACAATGATGGTCTATTGGATTCTTGTCTGTCAGGTACTGAATAATTAGGAGTTTCCATAATCTACTGACAGTTAAGTCAAACAAAAACTAGAGTCCTCGCCCTGATATCAATTGTTATCCCAGGTAGGCAACCCAAGAGGGGGAGGGATGAATTGGGTTAATTAAAAATAATTTCACAATATTAAATATAATAATCAAAATATCATAATTTAAATAAACAGGGAACAAAACAATAATAACAATAAATATAAAAGTAAAACAAATTGGGAGAGAAAATCAAATATAGCGATTTATAGTGGTTCGGCACACCAAGCCTATATCCACTCCTCAAGGATCATCCTCAAGAATTTCTTCACTTTCAAACAAATCAATACACCACCAAAGTTTTGCCAAGCTTGTGGATTTTACACAGGTCTTACTTTTATCCATTGAGCCTCACTCAACAATAAATGCCTCTCCTTTACAAAATTCTCTCACAAAATAATCAATAAAGAGGTATTTCATCCCTCTTTTACAATGATTCTCTTTCAAAGAGTAAATATGAAAGTGTAAGACCGAGGACAACACTTAGATTTGAAAGTGAAAGAGTAGAGTGAAAAATACAATCAAAATTTTTTAGCACATAGATTTTTCCCTTTAAGTTCCTTGATTTTTCTGCAAGCAAAATGCTTCTATTTATACCTAAAAATCTACCCATTGGAGGAGGGGAGACGCTTCTCTTCTAACTTTTGCAGCTCGATCAGATGGGCATGCCTTGAAAACAGATGCTCCAACACGTGAAGATTTGTCAAGAGTTCAAACTATATATACTATAAGATATTTTATAAAGTGTTTGCCATAGGAAATGATTTGTCATTGTGTCTTTACACATGCCAATATGCATACATGTAACACGATACAATGAATGCAATGCATATATGCAAACTTAATCAAAAGTTTGATTTTCCATGTAGGTAGGTTTCTCTTTTCCATTTATATTATACATTATATTATATATAATATTAAAAAGATGCACAGTAACAATATATGATGCAATTGAAATCTATTTTCATATTTTGTGTCAAATGATTGTAAAATATGTATATGCTAAAAATCATGATAAATCTAATGTATTTAAGACATCATCAAAATTAAATAATATGATTAACAAACCCATTAAAGATAATTGCTCAATAAAGTCTCAGATACCATTATCTAGATTATTGCTTTAAACCATAAATAGGTCTTTGAAGCTTGCAAACTTTGCACTCTAGGTCAACTGCTATAAAGCCTTCTGGCTGGTCCATACAAATTTTTTCATCTAATTCTTCGTTGATAAATGCAGTTTTAACATTCATTTGGTATAACTCTAGGTTCAACCGAGCTGCTATTGCCAGAATAAGGTGAATATATGCAAACCTTACTACTGCAGAAAAAGTTTCCTCCTGGTCTACAGCTTCCAATTTAGTGTAACCCTTCCCCAGTAGGCGAGCCTTATATCTTTCTATGGAACCATCTGTCTCGTGCTTGATTTAGAAAACCTATTTGTTCCCAATGGCCTTGTGCTTGGGTGGCAAATCAACAAAGTCTTAGACAAGGTTTTTTTCTCAATGGAAGGGATCACCAATAGTTTAGGGAGTCCATTTGTACACTTCTATAATTCAGGAGACAAAGTGATAATTCTCAATAGTTTAGGAGGTCTATTTGTATGTTTTTATAGTTTAATAGGTCAAAGAGATATTTCTTAATAATTTAGGGGGTCCCTGCATAAATAACCCATGCATTTACTTTGATTTTTGTACCAAATTTAGAAAAATAATAGCACAGTGTAAGTTTAGAAAATAATTACAAATCAATGATGAAATTTATAAACTTTAATAATTAAAATATTATGTATTTTAATAATTCAATAAATTTTTACTGTTACCACTAAATTTTAATTTCCTCTAATTTCAATTGCTATGGAGGTTTATATACTTTCTAGTTGGATTCTTCAATCAGGCCAAAGCATCATCAACTGCCACATAAGCTTTTTATGTGGAGCCCACTTGGAGCTTAAGTTTGTTGTTCTGTCCAAATCACTAATGAAGAGTTGGTTGTTGGTGTAACAATCAAAATTGTCACTACTGAAACTCCAAGGACAAAATTCAATGGTGCAAAATGTAATTTGCGTTTTTTAAGAAAAAAAATTCTATTCGGGGATCATAAAAAAAATCGTAGCACATATTGTATGAGAAATTTTAACATGCACATCCTCAAAAATGATGTATCATATGTATTTTTAGTTATAACATTTTTTTCTTTAGTAATAACTAATTTTTCTCTTTAATTATGATATTGTTTTAGTTATGATTATGAGTTCTTTAGTTATGTTTCATGTTGTATTTAGTTATGATATTTTTTTTAGTTATGACTCAAAAAGTATGATATTATACAATTTTCTTATTTAGTTATAAGGTGCATATGGTACACACTCTATATGTGTCATTTAGATATAAATTTTCAAATAAAAATTAATTGTTCAGACATAAACTTCTAAACAGAAAGAATTGTTCATATATACATTCCATTCATATGTTTATATCAGCATAACTATTTTTTGTTTAGAAATTTATGTCAGAATATTTGATTTTTGTTCGAAAGTTTATATACAAATGGCATGGTGTATACTACTAAGATTTTTTATGGTGTGCAAAAAGAATTACCTTTTTCTATGTTTTTTTTTATAGTAAATTACACTAATCTCCTTTTAGGTTTGGAGAAAATACAGTAAATCTCATAAATTTAGCATAATTATATTAGTTTCTCTTAAAATTTTAATAACACTTGCCCAATTTTTTTCAATTATTCGTTAGTCATTTGAATTGAAAAATGATTGTTTATCCTTGTATTTTCATATCATCTATATTAGTTTCATTTATTTTAGTTTTACTAAAAGAGAAGTTAGTATAATTGTATCAAAATTATAAAACTTACTGTATATTCTTTAAATCTTAGGGAAATTAGTGTAAGTTGCCCTTTATTTTTTTAAACTTTGTCTATATGATTATTTTAACCAAGTCAGTTTTGGTTGGCCTTCAAGTTCTTGCTATGGATCAACTAATGGCACATATATTTATATTAAAATTAAAGCATCATGTTGTGTTTTAGTCACTACCACCTCCAACCAACAATATCCCTTTGTTCAACATCAGCAGCCCACCACCTCTAATTTTGTCTCTCAGTACATTGTTGTGTTGCATAACACAAAAACAAAATCTCTAATTCTCTCTGTTCTAAGTGCATTGTTGTGCATAACATAACACAAAAACAAAATGGGAAGCAGCAGAGGGCCATCACCATTAGTTCCATTAGTAATGGTGGGAGTCTTTGCTCTGCTCATCTTTGGACCTCTCTTGCAATCTGTAGTTGAAGCTTTCTCATCTCTGTATCAAGAAGTGATGGACTATGAAGGTGGTGTCACCTTCATGATTCTGCTTTTTATGATCTTATTGTTGATGGTAATGTACTTACTCTCTCTCTTCTTTCCCACACTTGACATCTTTTATACCGGAAACCGACAAAGCGATGAAGATGAAGGGTTTGGATTGGGATCTTTTCTTCTAGCTCTGCTCTTCTTTGCTCTGTATGTTGTCATGTGAGTACTGTTCTTTCTTACCATCACTTGCTAGTTTTCTTTCAATTGTTAGATTAGAAATTGTATATTCAGATTTTGATTTGTTTTCAGCCTTCTTACAACAGGGGAGAAGAGCAGTAAAAAATAAAAAAAAGGGTAAATTACACTTTTAATGTTTGTAGTTTGACTCAAAATTTTACTCCAATCCTTATTGTTTCAAATTATATAATTAAGTCCCTACATCTTAAATCTAGTTTCAATTTGATCTTTCAGTTTAAATTAGAGGTTCAAATTAACGAGTTTGGAACGTTTTACAGTTTTTTAAGATGTATACGTATTAAAAATTAACAAAAAATTGAATAAAAAAACCAAATTGAAACTAACTTAAAATGTAATGACTAAATTGTTCAAATTGAAATAGTAGATTATTTTGGGTCAAACTATAAGGGTGAGAAGTGTTTGATCTCTGGTATTAAAAAAAAAAAATTAAAAATTTTAGAGGAAAAAAAACATTCATGTTTGATATAATAGCTATTTTTTTTCAGGGTGAATCGAGAGGAAGATTGAGGTGGAGGCCAGCCCCAATATTATGGCAACCATTTATTACCAAGAAGACACTTCATCAACTAAGTTGGCATCTTAAATTACAGTTACCTTCGGTTTTTCATTCTTACTCAAAAGTTTGCCTGCTTTCATTTTCACCAATATTCTCACATTTCAGAATTTCAAAAATAGAGGAGGAAAAAAGCAACCACTTTCTTCTAGATTTTAATGGAACCAGGTTTGTTTTAAATTGTTTCTGACAATGGGAATCCCAGTATGCTGCTTGCAGTTATTGCCACATGAGTATTCTGTTTTGATTTTTTTTTTTTTTTTTTGATGACCGGGTGTCCGGACCAATTTACGCGCACCTTGACTAATCTCGGGATCTATGCAAAGCGCCCTTTCTACATGGATCGGGCAAATCTCGGGCAAAACTCACGGGCGTGGCCCCAATATTCTAATGTTGATTCATAAAAACAGCCGATGCATAATTGTTCAGAATAGTTCTTCCCAAAAATCAACACAAAATCTACTGGGCTGAACTTGCAATCTAACTTCTTAAAAGCCACTCAGATGGTGATTTGTTCGACACATTGTTGGTTGCAGGTAGAGAGTTACAATTGGTGCATATCCTATCCTAACCAATTGATTTAAACTAATTCAATTGGATTTTGCATTTTATTTTCTAATGGTAAAGCCACATCGCCTACTAGTATTTTCACTCGAAAATATTTCAACAAAAACACCAAATACACCAAGTATATTGTGGATCTCTCTGGTATATAAATAACCAAGAAGTTCAATGACGGATTGTCAAATAGGAAGGAAAGTGAAAACCCAATCCCAGTTTCCCACATCCCACCATGTTCACAGATTTACATCAGGCTGGAGAAGTTCTATCGACATATTTAAAAAGGTCCCACCTGACTCAGTGAACCTCTTTATGTTCTTAGAAACAAGAAACGGTTTTTTGAGGTATTGTATGTTGACATCAAAGGTACTTCATGTTTACATTGAGTGTGGACTTGTCCAAAGAAATATTGTACAAACTAAATCCAATAAAAGGAAGAAAAAGAAATATTGCAATTGAATTTTAGTTACCATGGAATTCTTGGAATTGTAGGGTTGACATGCTTACAGGCTACGCTTCATAATAGGTTAAAAAGCTAGAATTATGAACCACACCTTGCAGGCTAAGTGGTTTTCTTTGCTAAGTCAGCCTTGATGTCTTCTCAATCAGAGACAGAGAGAGAGAGAGAAACAACACAACCAATAACATGATTAACCATTACGAGTACAAAATACATTCAAATTACAAATGTACTAGTAGCTAGTTCAAAATCATACTTCTTATACTGACATTACTTTGAAAAACTACCAAGTACATAGACCACCACAACAAAGTTTAACCCATTTGCTATATAAAATTATGTGAAATTACGACAATGGCAGCCAAAAAAAAAAAAAGTTTTTCACGTTTTACAACAATTACAATCATTAATTATCAAAAACATCCAGCAGAATATATCACAAGCATCCTATATGTACAAAGAATTGCCTCCTAATGGCTTCATTAGAACTGTATAAAACATATAAATATGTAATTTCATGCAGCCATGATTGTTGACCAAATATGCAACCCTTCATTTTCCCTTCCAATTCACTTAGATTGTGTTTGGATTATGAATTTAGATAAGAATTTGGAAATAGAAAGAAAAAGTTTAGGAAAATGTGAATGAAATATAAGTTAAATTTTTTCTCCATTTCTCACACCTTTCCCCATCCCTTTTCAAATCCATGATCCAAATGCTGCATTAAAGTAGTATTTTGGATTTTCGATTTGTGGAGGGAAAAGAGAAATGAGTTGAAAATTAAGGTGTTATTTGGCAACGTTTACAGTTTACTTTTTTTGTTTACAGAAAATATTAAACATGTTTATATTTATTTTTGGTAAAAACGAAAACAAAAACATATTTGGTACACAAGTATTTTAAAATTTTATTATGAAAACAAGTGAAAATGAGAGGCTACGGGAAGTGGTTGTCGACGGTTGGAGATGGTGACCGGACAATCACATAAAATGGTAGTTGAAGGTGGATTTCAAGAAAATGTGGTGGCCCAAGGTGGTTATCGCTAGTAAGACATGGTTGGTGGCGATGGCAGATGGTTAGCGATTGAGGGAGATAGTGACTGAAAGTGGCTAGCGGAGGAGGTCGGGGCAGGAAGCAATGGATGGCAGTTGGATAGAGTGGGAGAAGGAAGAAAAAATTAAAAAAAACATAAACATAAATTAAAATCAACTTTTTTGTGTTTACAAAATTTATTACAATTTTATGAAAATGAAAACAGAAACAGAAACCGAAACCAAACGAGTTTTTGTTTACAGTTTCCAAAAATTCTGTAAATATAAACAGAAAATTGTAAATATCAAATGATGATTAGTCTTTTATCCTTCTCATAGTGAAATATTTGACAAAATATATAATCTCATTAGCATTTTCAGTTTCTGTCACATTATGTGGACATCATAAGATGATTAGTCTATTATCCTTCTTCCAGTGCTAATGTAAGCGAAAATATAAAGAGAGCAGGAGAAAATAATAATAAGTAAGGTGTTCGATGCATAAGTAGCATTACCTACTACAATTGTTCTTGCTAACACTACTTACACTCGTAATAACATCGCCGCCACCATGTCTATTACTGTTATATCCAGATGTCTAAGATCGAACAGTATAAGTTTATTTTTCGAACTTATCATCAGGTAGTTGTTCAATGTATTTGTAACACAAAACCGCAAGTGTCATCTGAAAACTGCAACATGTGTAATATACCTAGAGAAAAGTTGAATTTTACCGTTATCCTGTTGCATTAAGCCACATGAATTAAGCTGTTGTGGTTGCTCAAATTCTCATGTCAGTTACCGCCGATGAAACCATAATGATCTCATGAGCTTGATACAAGTTAGAAAGAAATATTGTATGGAAGTGGTAATTGCTCTCCCAATACATTGTTTATTTGGAAAAGATTGTAATTTCAGTAAACAGAGCAAAAGAAAATTCGGAAATGTCAAAAAATTGTACTCTAGAATGTTTTGGGAACAAATTTCACCAGGAAAGAAGAAATTGACAGTTAATACAAGTGATTGAGAATTACCTTTACAAAAAGTAGAATGGCAATACCAAGCTATTGAAAATGCTTTCGTTTTCTTGTATGCTCCATCTTGAGGATTCAGAATCATTCCTCCAGGCCAATCAATGAGACTATCATACATGATTTCCAATAAAAACAAAATGAAAATTGACTTTTGAAGGATCAGGACAATGCTGAATGATGATGCTGAGCAGTTAAAAACAATAGTAGGCTAATGTACTCATAGTTAATGGTCCAGGGCATAACTGAAAGTGGGTGTCACATTGATTCCTTGCAAAATTAGTGTTGTCAATTGGGTCCACTACATGTAATTCAAGAGTTCATTGAGAGGGGCCATTTCCATAATACATGGATAATCCTCCTTTAACAGGCTGCATGATGGCAGAGATGTACCTGCTGCTGCTAGAAGCATTGGGAATAGTAAAGCATAAGGAATATTTTCTCAGATGGACGTAAAATATAAAAAGCATAACAAACTAAGATTGCCTATGGAATTAACCAAAAGGTAGGCCGGTTGAATATTGAAGCAGGACAACTCACTAAGATTGTGTGCATAATAGAGTTGATAACATAATCAACATGAATCATTTAATTAGAATTGCTCAAGAAGAAGATATACAAATATTGAAGCACTGCAAAAGTTACGGAAACTCCCAAATATACACATGCACACCAGATATGCCTACAAATACACCTGAATAATTGACAGCAACTGAAATAATAATACTGACTTTGATGCATTAATGTTGGAATAATTACACCATGACATTGGCTACAGATAAATCTTCTAAAGCAATTACAGCACAATGTTGTTAGTTATGGTGATCAAAACAAAACAAGCTGAAGAAAATCAACAAGCAGATCTAGAAACTACAAAGCTATACTAATTAACCAAAAAAGTAAATGCATTTAACATTGATAGTGCAAAAGACGGAGAAATACACCACAAAATTAACTTTTAGGAATGTTCTTCCCAACAATCTTTGCCGGTGCAATGCGGAGTAGATTTCCTGGCTTACCAGGGACAGCGCCTTTGATCATCACAATTCGAAGATCATTATCAATTTTCACAATCCTAAGCTTTCTGATCTTTCTTTTGGTTCCTCCCATTCGCCCTGGCATCTTTTTCCCCTTGTACACACGACCAGGAGTTGTCCCGGCACCAATGGATCCAATAGCTCTATGACTCTTAGATCCATGAGTCATAGGGCCTCGCTCAAAGTGGTGTCTTTTGATGCCACCTAAAAGGAAAATCAAATAAACTGAAAACTAAGAATCCACACTCTTGGAAAAGGAGATTACAGTACAGAATTAAATTTTCAAACACATAACAACCAGAATCAATTATACATTTTAGAAAGAAGATGCATTTGTCAAGGGACAATAACTAGTCTTTTGAAATTATGAGCGGTAAAACCAATTGAGTACTAGCAAACAATACTCCAAAAGTTTTGCCACTCTACTTACCTCTACACACAAAAGCATATGTACACCTCTATCAAGTTTATACACCAAGTAAAACATTTAATTTCCATTTTGAAACAATTTATATACATTATAGAGCCAAAGAACATGATTTTATGTATATATATAATTTATATCGCTTTATACATAAAATCACGTGTGTACATATGCACATATCACTGGCATTATTTCATGAGTGCAATTGCAAAAGCTTCGAAATGAATGACCATCAAAACAAAGTCAAAAAGTATGAACTTTACATACAAAATTGAAATATTTTCATTTCAGGTGGGGCAGAAGTCAGTGTTTCAATTACGGATGGCAATGGGGCGGGTAGAGCGGGTTTTACCCTCCCCCTCTCCAATCCCCGAATTTTATTTTTTCCCCATCCCCATCCCCATTCCCATCCCCAACGGAGACCAATTTCATGACCACCCCTGCCCCTATTGGGGATCGGTTTTCTCCGCCCCATTTGCTTTGCTTCATTGCTTTGCTTTAGGTATATCTCCATAATATAAACAAAACAAAAGCAAAAAATTAAGAATTGAAAAAAGTGAGTGAAAGGGACAAATTGATTAAGATTTTGTTTAGTTTATGGATTTTTTTTTTTTTTTTTTTTTCATCCTCCCTACTCTCCCAAAGGTCCAAGGCAGTGCCCCTTTATAGAGATCACCAAGGTGTCCTGTTAGGCGTTCCGAGCGAGGAACTATAACCTGGGAACTTGCCCCGACCTCCCAAGACAAGCTCCGCTTAAGTCAAGACTCGCACAGCGGGGGAGCATTGAACCCACACCAAGTGCTGATTAGACAACTTGAGCTCCAACCTCCTAACCAATTGTGCTACGCCCAGGAGATTGGCCCGGGGGGGATTTGAACTCATGACCTGGGGGCTTAATCCCCATGTTCTTACCACAAGGCCACCCACCCCTGGGTTTAGTTTATGGATTTGAGGACAGTTTTGGACAGATTTTATACACGTTTTTCTTTTTTTTTTCTTTTCAAATTTCTCCCCAGATTCATGAACCAAACACAGCCTAAAAATAATAATTCCCAAAAAAATTATACTGCTTCAGTTTTTTTTTATTTATTTTTAGATTGAGTACTGCTTCAGTTTAATAAAAACAAAAACAAAAACAAACAAACAAAATTAAGAAGAAGAAAAGTAAGAGGGAAAAGAAAAATTAATTAAAAGAAAGAAATAACTTCCAAATTATTGCAAGAATCTCACACAGAGAAAATATTAATTAAAATTAACTAACAATTGTGTAGATCCTATCCGATGATTTTTCTACTTTTACACCAAAAAAAAGTTGATTTAGATTCCATTTGTTTCGATATAAAATATGTTTCATGTAAACTGATTACAGTGAAACGAAAATTTATATTGCATGAAAGAGTTAGGATACCTATTTGAAAAGTCAAATGCGCTGAAAGAATCTGATTACATAATTTTTAATGTCAAGTTGTTTTTGGAACCATAATGAAAAACATTTTTACTTATATTTTGTTCAATCAAACAACAAAAAATGAATAGAATATTTTTAAAAATATATATATATATGTCAAAAAAAAAAAAAAAAAAAAAAAAAAATTCTTAAGAAGAAGAGGAAGAAGAAGAAGAAGAAGAAGAAAAAGAGGAGGAGGAGCAGTAGTAGTAGTGTTACAATGACGATAGATGGAAGTGTTAAGGGAAGGGGCAGACCTAGATTAACGTGGGAGAATAGTAAATAGAGATATGAATCTCCTTAATTTGACTAACCAAATGGTCGTTGATAGAATCGAATGAAGAATAAAGATTCATGTAGCCAACCCCATTTAATAGGACTTAAGACCAAGGTTGTTAAGATCGCGATCTGGATCATAGGATCGCACGATCCTACGATCCAATATACATCCTTCGATCCAACTCGTGCTTTGGATCAACCCCAGATCAGGATCGTGATGGGATCGTGAAAGGATCGTTGGAATCGGTGGGATCGTATCTGGATCGCGACTCCATGCGATCCAGATTTGAAGCGTTTTCTCAACTTAAAAGCAAAATCGGAAGCAAAAAAAAGAGAGGCAGAGAGGCAAAGCAAGCAGACCTGCGATTACGGCAATACAACTTGGGGAAAGAGAAATTGAACATCAAATTTTAGATTTTGCAACCACAAACTAGGTACACTGTTCTTCTTCTTTTTCGAATCTTTCTCTCTCTTCGCTGTTCTTCTTCTTCTTCGCATCTTCCTCTCTCTTCGTTGTTCTTCTTTGTCTTCGAATCTTCCTCTCTCTTCGATCTTCTCTTCTTTTTCTTTCTTCACTGCTCAGTTCTTCTTCCTTTCTCTTCACTGATCTGCTTCTTCGCTGCTCAGCTGCTGCTCTTTTTCTTTCTTCGTTGCTCTCATTTTGTTCTGATTTTGTATATTATATATATATATACTGAATTTGCTGCTTCTTTTTTTGTTTTTTGTTTTTTGTTTTTTTTTTCCTCTTATTCTTTTTGTTTTTTGTTTCTGTAAATTATATATTATATATATTTTTGTATGAATGATGCGTTGATCACTTGAACATTTGGATTTGAGTTCAAATTTTATATTTGGTTGTGTTCCTCCTCAGATTTCTAGAATGGTGAAGCTTCAAACTCTCAATGTTGGTGATGATGATGATGATGATGTGGATGATGATGATGATGTAGCAATGATTAATGTTGATTGTGGCAATAACGATGATAATTTCAGCAACCATGATGCCTTATTTTAGTCTTTTATTTGTTTTTCATTTATTAGTTTGTTTTGTTTTCATTAAGAAACAATAACAGTGGTGTGCAAGTGTTGTGACTTCTTCTTTTGAAAAAAAAAATGTTTGAATGCTACCTTGAATTGCTATATTTCTTTTTTTGGGGCTTATTCTATATATATTTTGATAGTATTACTTAGTCATATAAAAATTATTGCATTTTTTTATCATTTTAGTAGGATCTTACGATCCTCGATCCGATCCTACGATCTGATCCGACAGACCCCCAAAACAATCCTGTGTAGGCTCCCGATCTTAACAACCTTGCTTAAGACTTGGTTTGGTTTGATTTGGTTTGGTTTGGTTAGAAGCACTAATTGATAATTTATCCCATATATACATGTGCAGTATAAAGATAACAATAATATATATAAATTATTTTAGGATAAAGAATCAATAGTTTGTGATAGCATAGTTGGTTAGCAGCTTCACCATAATTTCATCAAGTATGGCGTTCGAGTCACGGGGGACTTTTTTGTTTTTACCTTGACTTGGAGACAAGGGGACGGGTTATTCACCAACCCAGCCCTGAAAAAATCGGGGATTCACCAACCAATATTATATCCAACCCGTCACGGGGGACTTTTTGTTTTTACCTTGACTTGGAGACAAGGGGACGGGTTATTCACCAACCCAGCCCTGAAAAAATCGGGGATTCACCAACCAATATTATATCCAACCCGTGGGGGGAAAAATTGGGGAAATCCATTCTAATAATAGCAGGGCAATGCGGGCCTCCATCAGGTCCAGGTCAAATTGCCATCCCTTTGCCATTTTCACTTAGGCCCTCATATGAGATAATGAATAAATAAACAATATGGAAATGATAAGGTTACTTGACTTTTAGGCACAGCCTAAATGCACCCTAATTTCCATGTGTCCCAACAAGGTCCAAGGAGAAAGTTTTGGTGTACAGGGGAAGTTCTACTGGAGAAAGAAACCATATCAATCACTACAGATCATCTATACCATATTCATGAAAGCAGGTGTGTAGAAGAGGGGATCAAGTTCATAATTGTCTAGGTAAATATTAGTGATGCCTAACATATCAAATTTGATAAACCAAGGGATCAGAGACCGATAACTTGAGTTTCTAGGTAAGAGTTAGTTTCCAATGAAGATGGTAAATCAGGTTCACTCAATTAATTTAAGTCCAATATATCAGATAGTCCAGTCTGTGGCCATCATTGTGAAACAATAAAGCATCTCTTCTTGATGTTTTAGTTTATCATGCCAGTGTGAGTTGCTTCAATTTTCTTTTGACATGAATTTTAATCATTGGTTTGATTGAACTAAAGCTTGCCTCTTCAGAGGCCCTTTTACTTCTCTACACTACAAAGAGGTTCTTCTTCACTTAGGATCAATCTTACAAGTAATCTGGAGAGCACTAACAACAAAGTTATTTCCGAGTCTCTCTGCCTCTCCTCTCACATGATTCAACAAGCCAATGAGCTTGTCTGGTGTACTTTTCTCAAGTTGCAAGCTAATAATCAGAAAGCAAAAGCTAAATGCACCCCTTCCCCAGCCAGATAATCACAAAGTTATTTTGTGCTTGAGTTGGAGGGCTCTTCCTCCATCCATCAAGTCAGTTATTCGTTATTGAAAATTTTTCCGCCGCCACCAATCAAGCCATGCTTCTTTTTTCTCCAAATCAGTTTCTAGTGTCAATCAATCAAAATTTGTCTAACAGCTAGACAAGGAAGGGCAAGGGATATCTTCATACATACATACATTATATATACATATATAAACTGAAACAGACCCTAAGAATAACAAGTTGAAAACTACACGAGCAGATCAGTGTGTGAGTATATACAAATATTTAACATGTGAATCATATCACCAACATTACATCGTAAACTCAACAGTGAAAAAGTAAAGCCTGAACACAATCAAAACAAAGCCACAGAATATGAATTTGATATCAGGCAATGCTAAAGTTCAGATGTTAGTTTACTGCTAATTCTTAAATAAATAAATAAATAAATGGGTGACTAATTTCA